CACTCCTTTAGTCTAGTTGATAACTCACTCAAAAATATCAACTGTGACTCTCCCTTGCTGAGACTGGTGGTGATCTAATTTGCCATCTCAGATACCTCTAACGTTCACACAGTTATGCACTTGAGTTCATATTACTATGACTTAATGCCTACATAACAAAGCTGCAAACATTCAGTGCTTAGGATGACCTGTATCTAAGAGCAGTCCTTCAAAATAAGGGATGCTGTACATCATCCCCATGACAGATCCATAAGGAAACTGGCATTCAGAAAAGCACTTAATCTGAGGAAACAGAGATTTACTCTCCTCATGTTTGAGGCTCTGCTTGCTGTGTTTACCATGAAGACTACTTGGCCTACTTGTTTTATTGCTTCTTGTGTAGAGATGGGAGTCTCAGACAAGTCTTTTCCCTTTTGTAGTAGAATTACAGTCCAAGCAGCCCTGAGCACACTGACCAGGGGAGGAGAAGCCCTTTTCTCCTCCACAGCTTTAGGAGGACGAAGGAAACCAAGAATTGCAGGAACAGCATATGAAATAAGACTCATATGAGACAGCAAAGAAATGGCTTTTTCTTGGCTTTGGAAAACATGAAAAAATATTTTCTGTTTTGCACCACTGTTCCAAAATATCAGTTGGGATACGAAAAATTCAAATCAGACTCCAGATTCCACATGTAAAGCTAATACATCAATCTCTAGGCTATAGATTTCATGAGGATCTCTCTAACAAATTACCACTTATTAGAGACCTGAGGAAATGCTCTTGACAAGATGCTCACCAAGGCTGGCATACCTCCCTGTATATTTTCAGATATATAATAAATCAGTGGTTCTGATAAAGCACATGGTACTGAAAAAATGATAACCTGCCCTTACGCAACAATTCTTGTGCTTCCTTCTAAGGGAAGGATAACGTGTTTCTACAGAAATGGGTTTCCTCTGTAAGGATGGATAATTTTAATGCATCTTTGTCTCCATAGATGCTCGAAAGTGCTGAAAAGCTATAGGGTGTTATGTCAAACACTGACATAACACAAAAACAGTTGAGGTTTTGTGAATGGCAAAACAAAGCATTCAAGCTATGGAATATTTAAATTCAAAATATATTTGGAATTATTTGGGTAGTGAAAAGCATAACTAATATGGCTTTCTGGGTCCACAATGAAGTATAAATGAACTTGATAGCTCCACCACTGAGTACCTTACAGATGAGTGGGCTCCAGTTTGACATCATCTCAATCTTTCCTTGAGCCCACAACCTACAACAGCCAAAAATCCCAAACCAGTAAAACCGACCCCTGACAAAGTCTGAGTTATTGTCCTCCCACCTGCACTCTTGTTTAACAGCTCAACCAGAATGGTTAAAAACTGACAATGGAAAGAGTTACATAAAAATTGCAAGTGATACTAAAAATGTTTCCTGATAAAAGAGGCTGTGTTTACAAACAGGTAATTTAATTTCCTTGCACTGCCTTGGAAACGTAAGTTTGTTAAATTAAAGCGAGATTTGTTTTCATGCTAGAATCCACTGGGAGGCTGATTATGCTGAAACACAATTCAGTAAGAGTTGG